GGAGATGCTTCTTCAACCAACACCACAAGTTACAACGCGCGCGCGCGCCACACACACACACACACACACACACACACACACACACACACACACACACACACACACACACACAACACACACCACTACACAAAACACACACACACACACACACACACAAAATACACCACGGCTTCAGGGATAAAAAAAATCTTGTGCTGCAAACCTACTGGAGTTCTTCAACAAGGTAACCGAGGTAATACTGGAGAGAGAGAGAGAGAGAGAGAGGAATGAGTAGATTGCATTTCTTGGACTGTAAGAAGCTTTTAACACAGACTCAAAAACAAAAGTAATTAGCAGGCAGGAATAACAGAAAAACACTGCAGAGGATCAAATCATACATGACAGGAAGGAAACAAAGAATAATGGTCCGTGACGAGATGTCGGAATGGGTGCATGTAACGATGGAGTTCCACAAGGATCAGTCGTAGGGCCGGTGCTGTTTCCTGTATAAGTCAATAACATGACGGAATGGAAAGAGTCATAGGTATCCCTGTTCGCAGACGACGTGAAACTAATGAGAATACAGACAGACGAGGACCAGGAAAGACTACAAATGCCTCTGGAGAGGCTACAAGCCTGGTCTGGCAAATGAATCCTGGAGTTTAACCCCACCAAATGCAAAGTTATAAAACTTGGGGAAAGACAAAGAAGACCGCGGAGGGAGTACATGCTAGGAGGGACAAAGGCTGTATCATAGTAAGCGTAACCCCTGAGGCGCACATCAACCAAATAACTGTTGCAGCAAATGCACGTCTGGAAAATCAAGACTAGCTTATCGACATCTAAGTAAAGACTCATTCGCGAAATGTACACCGTGTACGCCAGGCCCATAAGGGAGTACGTAGCACCAGTATGGAACCCACACCTGGTCAAGCATGTCAAGAAATTGGTGAAAGACTGTGAATCTAGAAACAAGGAACGCAACTCATTTGAAAATCGAAAAATGGGGATTGTAACTCGTCTGCATGTGGAAAAACGAGGGACACACCTCGTTGAGAAGCGAGGAATAAAACTCGATGTAAGACGAAAAAAAAAAGCAGGAACGCAATCCGTTTGAAAATAGAAGTAAAAATTGGTAGGAAAGTTGGTATCAACATCAATGAAACGAGAGGAGACCACTTTGCCAGTGCCACCAATTGACCTCAGGCAGAGTGCCATATAGCGACTCAATTCCCTCCTTTTTCTTCCCTCCTTGAGGGTCAACCCATGCTCGTGGCTCTTTCATTTTGAAATAATAATGAAAACTTAAAATGTTCCATCTTTTACATCATGATTATTGAGAAAAACTTGCTAAGTGCTAAAAAAAAATTGCTTCAAAAATCTGAGAGATTATGTGTAGGGTTTAATGTTACCTATAGTAAACATGCACAAACGCTAACAGCTGTAGGTAGAGCAGTGATCACAAGTCTTGTGTCAGTAGTTGTCGGTAGAACATTGTTTGCGTGTGATCATCTTTCTAATAAAAAAAGTTAACAAAGTTATGCTAACTTTCAAATCTTCGTCAAAACAAACCGAGCATCCCAGCCTAGCGCTGCAAACACATACTTAATATGAAAACAACGTAATTCACTTAACCTCTCAAAGAATTTTCATCCCCTGAAGGGAGATTCTTTGATGCAGGTGAGGTGGATCTTGATCTAAAGGAATATAGACGTGTCCTCCATTTTCTTGAATCGAACCTGACTCCTTTCCAGTTCCCCAGGCGCTGTATTATCCCCACGGGTTTAGCGCTGCTTCCCCTCCCTTCAGTTAATTCTTGAACATTTATTCTGGTGAGGCTGGTTTCTCCACATAGTCACTTATAAGCATCATCTGCGTCTTATAAGCAAGTCACTCTCAGAGAAACAAGTCATGCTTTATTTCAGCGAATATTAACTTAAACACCAATTTGATACATGGTGAATTTATTGGCAACAGAGTCCTGCAGGATGCAACAACGCTGATAAGGATAATATGACCTGACTAGACAGTAGTGTGTTGTGCAGTGACCGAACTGTGACCTCACCTTGTAACTCTGTGTCGTATGCATACAGTATACTCATTCTTATGCACCTCTCCTGTTGTATTCATTCTTGTGCATCCCTCTCGTTGTATTCTGCATTTTGATATGAACGTGAGAGATTTCTTTTCACCTGTCCTGGAAACGTATTCTACATTTTCACCAGTATTCAAACCAGTCGAGTTTTCGACAATTTTGTTTTTACAATAGTTTTATCTTATGGATTGATAGATGTATTCACGAAAATAAACGTAGTATTCAATTTCTGAATATGACCGCAAAAATTAAAACAGCGAACAAACCCAACCTTGCTACGTCTGACGTAACCTCACAGTGTTTAGTTAGTATTGTGTGGCAGTTAAATATTTGTTGCAAATATGCAGTCTTAGCTCGTACCTCAGAGCTGTGGTATGATATATAAGGATACTAGCTGAGCTTAATCTCGTGGCATTAGAGGACAGACGGACCAAGGGAGACATAATAACGACATACAAAATATTGATAGTAACTTATAATATGGACAGGGACAGACTGTTCAAGAGATGGGAAACAGGTATACAAGGGCACAGCTGAATGTCATAGGAGCATTATGATATATTCATCTTCAGTTTGGCTAGGGAGTGTAACGACTTGCATTACGAGCTAGAAGAGACATGATCCATACATGGCTTTAAGAATAGGTATAACAGGGCTTATGAAGCTATGAGTATATGGGATAAGGAGCGAGTGCTCTTGCACTCGCCTAATTGTGCTTGAATGGGTTGAGGCACTGATTCCCACCCTACTTCTAGAGTTGGCTTGGCCGACATCTGCTGGACTCCGCCTTCCTGGACTCAGGCGTCCTGGATTCAGGCGTCCTGGACTCAAGCCTCCTGGACTCAAGCTTCCTGGACTCAGGCTTCCTGGACTCAGGCTTCCTGGACTCAGGCTTCCTGGACTCAGGCTTCCTGGACTCAATCGTACCTACTTAATGTGAATGGAAGGAACCTACATTTCCTCTTCGTTTACCTCATTACATTTTTGATACCCTGAGACTTAAGAAATATGTATGCGCGCATGCGTGTGTGTGTGTGTGTGTGTGTGTGTGTGTGTGTGTGTGTGTGTGTGTGTGTGTGTGTACTGGCCTACACGTACTCGCAGCTGCTAATCGACTCATTATTTCGAGAGCCTTATCATACTTCTTCTTAAATCTATGAATGAATCCACGCCTCTACCACCTCATTCTTCAGGTCGTTCCACTTCCTGATTACATCCCTATGATTCATCCATACTTTCAACTTCCAGCTGTGCCCTAGTTTACCTCTTTTCCATCTATCAATTTCTTTCAGTATTTTGTAAGTCGTTATCTTATCACCTCCTAGTGCTTATGTCCCCCAGTAACGTCAGGCTGAGTTCTCTTAACCTCTCTTCGTAGGATATACTCCTTGGCTCCGGGACTAGTCTCGTTGCAAACCTCTGCACTTTCTTCAATTCCTTGACATGTTTGACCAGGTGTGGGTTCCATGCTGGTGCTGTATACTCCAATATGGGTCTCATATACTGTGTATAAATTAGTTAATGATTCCTTTTATGTTTAAAAATAGTAGTGTTAGATTTGCCAGACGCGTATTTGTTACAGCAATTACTTGACTGAAATGCGTCTTGGGCGATATGTTTGGTACAATACTCACCCCAAGGTGAGTATTGTGCGAGGTTTACAGTCTTTGCCCCCGAACCTGTACTCCGTCTGCGGTCTTCTTTCCCCTTCCCCTAACTTCATAACTTTGCACTTCTGAAACCAGATCTGTCCAAATCCCCTTGAAACCATACCACGGTCGAGGTTAGAACCCGAGATCATAGAGTCTTAAAACTCCAGACCGACGCGTTCTGGAGTTTTAAGACTCTATGATCGCGGGTTCTAACCCCGCACGTGGTATGATTTGTTTGCAATCGCGTCATTACGATTTCGCGAGTCAAATCCACTTGCATCCTTTCCTGTTCCACATCTGCTTGTATTCATTTCATTAGTTTCATATCTACGAAAAAGAATACCTCTGACTCTATCCCTTCAGTCATGTTGTTCACGTATACAAGAAGTAGTACTTGTAGTTCTGATCCTTGTGGAATACCACTCGTCACACTAACCCATTCCGACACCTCTTCACGGACAGTCGCTTGTTATTTCCTTCATGTCAGGTAAGCCTTGATCCAGTGAAGTGCTTTCCATGTTATTCCTGCATGCTCCTCTTGCTTTTATACCAATCTCTTGTGAAGTTCTGTGTCAAAACCCATTCTACGGTCTAAGACGATGCAATCTATTCATCCCTTTTTCTCTTGCACTTCTGTTACCTTACCGTAGAACTCCAGTAGGTTTTTGAGACAGGATTTGCTGTCTCTCCAGACATGCTGGTTGTCGTTTATGAACCCACTTCTTTCTAGCTGCTCCACCACTCTTCTCCTGATAATCTTCTCCATAACCTTATATACTGCTCATGTCACTGACACTGGTCTGTAGTTTAACGCAACATGTCTGACTCCTTTCTATGAAATTAGGACTATATTTGCTGTCTTCCACACCTCCGGCAGTTGCCCTGTGCCAATAGATTTGTTGACACAGTGCTTCTGCTCTCTGTCTCAGGACCCACGGAGAGAGATCTAGTCCCACTGTCTTCGATGTATCAGACTCATGCTTCACCTCACCAGTTGTATGTATTGCGTTGGCCGCTGCACTCCACTGTTTCGCTTCGCTGTTAGCCTTCCTGTCTTCTCTAAGAATACCTTTTCAAATATCTTACTGTGCTCCTTAGAAACTTCCTTGTAAGCCCTCCTTTCTCCGGCCTGATTACCTGGTTCTATACTGTTGTCTTCCTACTGAAGTGGCTGTATAACTTTGGGTTGGATTTGCCTTTCGATGTTATGTCATTATCATATTGTCGATGAGCCTCCCTTCTTACCCATGCATAATCGTTTCTGGCTCTTCGGCTTAATTCCTTGTTCTGAGTTCTTTGTCTTCCATATTTTTCCTTACTCTAGCAAATTTAGCTTTGATCTCTGTGTACCACTGAGTAAACCATGGGCACAGTCTCTTATTCTCGTTGTTTCCTTTGCTCCTGGGTACGAATTTCTTCTCTGCCTCCCTACACTTTCCGGTCACATTCTCCATCATCTCACTCGTCTTCCACTCTAGTTCTCTTTCCTGCTGCACCTCATTCAAGAATTGCCTCATGCCTGTGTAGTTCCTTCTTTTGAAGTTTGGCTTCTCGCCTTCTTCCTGTGTTGCTTCTCTCTCCACTGTTGCTTCCACAAGATATTTGAAACTCAGGACCGTGTGATCACTAGCATCGAGGAGCCTTTCATAGTCCCCTATATCAGAACCACTCAGTGTGTGTGTGTGTGTGTGTGTGTGTGTGTGAGAGAGAGAGAGAGAGAGAGAGAGAGAGAGAGAGAGAGAGAGAGAGAGCGATAATTCGTCTCATGTAAAAAATAAGAAGTTAACATAATACAGAATCATTACGTTTTTTAACTTACAATTTGTCATCTGTTTTCGCTTATGTCGTCTCTTTTGCTGTCGTATCATTTACGGTGAATAATGAATGATGATAACACGAATAATACCCTCATACACTTCAACTTTCCCCGATTCTCTGGGGCCAATTATCTGAGCGGAGGAGGTAGCCCTTCCCTCGGACGAGCTCTGGCACCTCTGACACCTCTGGCACCTCTGACAACCTCCACACTGCAAGATGCTGTGTGTGTTGTGTGACGTCCAACTGCAGACTTTCCTAAATCCGCTTATAAAAATGTGTCTGCCTGTCTATTACGCCAGACATGTGTTTCTCTTTCCATTGCTTTCTGGATCCTTTCCCCTTTCTCTTTCTCTATCCCACTCTCCCTTCAACCTCCTCTCTCATGTACAGGGAGGGGGTGGGGGTACAACTGAGGAGGGGACAAACAACTTAGTATAAGCCAGGAATTTAAACTAATTAACTCAGCTAAGTGAATTAAAAGTTCTTTACACAAATGCTCTCAGTACTTTTTTAAAGAGGATGAATTATCCACATACGTCTTAGAAAATTCAGATATTTTGACTAACTTGATCTTGGTTTGACCCAGAAAAACATCAAACAGCAAAAATTGCCCTAACTAAATGCAGTATTTTGTATAAAACTGTCACTTGTATGGAAGATAATACAGTGACTCGGTATCTTAACAACGATCTACTTGCGATAGAAACTGAGAAAACTTGATGTACCGGGAAATGACTGTGTATGTAGAAATTCAAGGTAATAGGAACATGAAAATTATATCCGGTGTAGTACGTCAGTCCTTCCCTCCCCAAACAAAATCAAAAGGATGACATCCGCTCTTATAACAGAATTAAGGCAATTTGAATTATCAAAGAAGCAATATTAGTTGGAGACTTTAATGTTCGTGAAGCAATCTCTCAGGGGACCAGGAGGCGGCCACAAGTTTTGAGGACGATTGTTGTTGCTACTCGGAGTAACATTTTAGTTTGTTCTGACCACCGACTGTGAACTCATACAGTCATGCGAGGATGGCGAGAGACTGCGAGATACTCCTCAAAACATCATTCGATTTAAAATAAATTTTGAGATCCAAAATAACACTATGGTGATTTCCGCTTCCTCAGCAGCTTTGGTAAGTTTAATTAATAACGTTAGTGAATCGGACTACTAAATGTACATAATGTAGAGGAAATGCGGAGCAGATTTAAGAGAAAGAGTCAAGTACCGAGAAGGATAACTATTACATAGTATATTTATTATACGGTGTATTAAACATATTGTATAAAAAATGTTGCATAGTTCCGGGATTGTTCTAAAACTGGACGCGTATTATTCCTGGTCAGAGTGGCCAGAGAGAGAGAGTGAGGTGTTCAGTAGGTGAAGCACAGCAGATGGAGCAAGACATAGTTGTGTGAGTAGGTGAGCTGGTGAGTTTTTTAGTTTATACTATAGTAATTTTGTGTTTATGTGCTCTCATATTTACCTGTGAGGCCCTAGTGTGCAGAGGCCTATTTTAAGTTTTGTGAGAGTACTTGTACAACCTGCAGATGGAGGGGGGGGGGTCATGGAGCCTCCCTGTTTATAAATGTTTATATATTTTGTGTTACTCGCTAGTAGCAGTGTGCTAGTGAGCTATTGTGAGTGAGTAAAGGTGTTATGGTATGTAGTAAAGTAAATTGTAGGTTGTATATGTTATTCTATTTTTAATATATATTTATTTTTGTATAGGCGAGTTTTTGTGTTGTTCCTCATAATACATTGACCATTTAAATTTATGCTTTATAATTTGTATGAAGGTACAAGCTGGCACTAGAGTGGTTTCTTTTTCTATTTTAAATAATATAAATGCCCCTAGACATAGCAGGTAGTTTACCCTTTAGGAGCCACGAATTTTATTTACGTTACGCAGAAAAATGAAGCATGAAAAAGATGAACGAAAGTGAAGCTGGATGACGATACTACTAGCTGAGACTATTGGTAAAAAAAAACATAATGCATATAAAAAAAAATTTAAGTGACTGGTAAACTCGAGGATCACACTTCATACGGTTAGAGAGAGAAAGCAAGAGAAATGTCTTAAAGTGGTGCTCAAGAATTCGATAGACAAATTGCCTTTCGAATCCTTTTTCATCGTTTTTATTTGAAATTCAAGTACGTCAGAGAAGAACGAGGGACTAAAAGTAAGGACAAGATTTTTAACCAGCCAGAACAGTCAGAAAAGTAACACCTGGGATAAGTCGTCTACAGTTTACCCAACTCAGACTTTGGGTTCACATCTTCCACTGAACATGACACCGTATTACAAAATGGATATAAATGCACTTGAAAACGTACAAAGGAGGATGACAAAGTTGATCCCATGTATCAGAAATCTTCCCTGTGAGGATAAACTGAGGGCCCTGAATCAGCACACTCTAGAAAGGCGTAGAATTAGGGAGGGATATGATTGAGGTGTATAAATGGAAAACGAATTAATAAAGGGGATGTAAATAGCGTGCTAAAAATATCTAACATAGACAGGACTCGCAGCAATGGCTTTAAATTGGAAAAATTCAGATTCAGGAAAGATATAGGAAAGCACTGGTTTGGTAAGATTGTGGACGAGTGGAACAAACTCCCGAGTACCGTCATAGAAGCTAAGACGTTGTGTAATGTTAATAGGTTGGATAAATACATGAGTGGGTGTGAGTTGGACCTGACTAGCTTGTGCTAATAGGTTGGATGCCATGCTCCTCCCTTAAGGGGACGTGCGACCTCCAGTTCAGGCATTGGTTTAAGCCTGTGGAAAATGGACTTGCCTTGAAAGGGAAGTAGGCCTTTTGCAGTGTTCCTTCTTATGTTTTATTTTCTACAATCAAGAGAGGTAAATTCCTCCCCATAGGGGCAAAGGTTGGCGCTGTCGTCCGGACGTGGGAGACGAATTTCAATTTAGACAAGTAAATAATAAAAAATTTTTTGGGTTAAAACAATTCAGACATGAATAAAAAATTTTTTGACTAAAACCTTACCGAAAAAAAGAAGAAGGGGCCGGGGGGAGTACTCATGAACAAACCTAAAAAGGTCCCAAATAGAAACTAAAAAAAATGCGGGTTTTTCATACCTAGAAACTTCAAACACAAATCACCAGACCCTTCTGACTTTTCATATTGCGTTTGTTTTTCCGCATTTTAAATACCCTTCCGTTTGGTCTCCAATAATAAAAAAAGAAGATTTACCGGGGAAAAAGCTAAAAAAAACTCGTACCTCACTCTGAAACAAAAAATTTTAAGAAAGTTCAAACACTCAATCTTATTTTCTTCGAAACAGAAAAAAGAGGGATATTCAGGCCTTTAAGGTATCGAAAGACTTTGAACAAAAAGAAAAACTATTTGAAGTGCAGTGAGTCAACAATCCAAAAATGGAAGAAATGTCAGAATGGAATAGACAAATTAAACTCAGAGGCTTGCAGTTGCCAAAACAAACGGGACAGCTTTTTGCAATATAGAATTCATGCAAGATAAAAGCTTAGTTTCCTAGGGGAAATAGTTGCAAAAACCCTTTTTAGGCCCTGTTACTCAGTGTAAATCTTTAATCAAGTTGTGGGTTAGCGTAAATTGATTTTATCAGTGAAAAACCAGTGTAATAACAGTGTTCCCCTCTTTCCCCGCCGGCCCTGACATTATAAAAACGGTGGGGGCAATGTCTGCTGTTTTTCTACGTTGACTCATAAGAAAGAATTTTTCGGATTTTTAACTCAGGTTTAGCCCCCCGGTTAAACCTTGAAAGTCAGTGCGTCATCGTGGACAACGTCTTATTTCCATTGGGGACTCTCGTCTTTCCTCCAGGGGCAATCCACAAGTGTCAGATAACACCCTAGGTACCTAGTTTCTGTTAGGTGAATAGGTTAAGTACGAAAACATGCCCAACGTTCCCAGCCTTGCCGGGGACTGAGTCACGGACACTTAGTGTGTGAGGCCAGAGCGTTGCCTACGAAGCCACGGGACGACCAGATAATATACGATACTCCTTAATCTTGGTAGAAGTAGACAGTTCCTAGCAGATAGCCTCGATGTAGACTTCCATGTCCTCTTCTAACTTTCTTTCCCATGTGCTCTCCTTTCATCCTTCTCTCCCATGCTTTCTCTCCTCCCTGTTTTCCCCTTTCATTCTCTTTCTTTCCTCCCAACTTCCCTAACATGGAAATATAATTAGCTCTTCCACATTAAATCTCATACAACAGCGATTCCCAATCTGGTGTCTGAGGCACTGGTTTCGGAAATCTGGTCTGGGACCGGGTCGCGGGCTTTGACGTCCGAAAGAGTCTCCAGTAAAACTCTTGGGAACCATGTTCATATGTTAGAATGACCAGAAATCCTGGTGTGGCCAGCAACTCTGTGTTCGGTTCAGTAACTCGGTATCTGGGTCAGTAACTCGGTGTTCGGGTTACTCTGTGTAACACTAGCCTCTGGAAATCAATGGACCGGAAAACGAAAACGTGAGAAGTCAACACAGGCTCTGGCCAAAAATGGCGACACGAGACCATAGGCTGAAGTGGTTCAGGTCGGTCTCTCCATCTCTCTCAGATAATAGTAGTTTTTTAATATGTTCTAGTAGTTGTTAAGGTGACTTATTTAAACCACTAACACTGTTCATGTTAAGGCTTTCATGTTCTGCCATGTTTTTGTAATTATTGATCTAGCGAACAACTAGGCATATTTATGTACATGCATCCATCTGACGCTGAGTCACCTTAACGAGGTGGTGTGGTTTGAGTGGTTAGTGCCTAGAGGAAGAGGCCACTCTCCCTACAAACCTTGCCTAAGAACCCA